TGTGTGGTGTGTGTGGAGGTACGTGTGTGTGTGGTGTGTGTGGAGGCTCATGTGTGGTGTGTGTGGAGGTACATGTGTGTGTGGTGTGTGTGGAGGCTCATGTGTGGTGTGTGGAGGTACGTGTGTGTGTGGTGTGTGTGGAGGTACGTGTGTGGTGTGTGGAGGTACGTGTGTGTGGTGTGTGTGGAGGCACGTGTGTGGTGTGTGGAGGTACATGTGTGTGTGGTGTGTGTGGAGGTACGTGTGAGTGTGGTGTGTGTGGAGGCTCATGTGTGGTGTGTAGAGGTACGTGTGTGTGTGGTGTGTGTGGAGGTACATGTGTGTGTGGTGTGTGTGGAGGCTCATGTGTGGTGTGTGGAGGTACGTGTGTGTGTGGTGTGTGTGGAGGCTCATGTGTGGTGTGTGGAGGTACGTGTGTGTGTGCAGTGTGTGTAGGCACATGTGTGTGTGGAGGTACGTGTGTGCAGTGTGTGGAGGCTCATGTGTGTGTTGAGGTACGTGTGTGCAGTGTGTGGAGGCTCATGTGTGTGTGGAGGTACATGTGTGGTGTGTGGAGGTACGTGTGTGTGTGGTGTGTGTGGAGGCTCATGTGTGGTGTGTGGAAGTACGTGTGTGTGTGGTGTGTGTGGAGGCTCATGTGTGGTGTGTGTGGAGGTACGTGTGTGTGTGGTGTGTGTGGAGGCTCATGTGTGGTGTGTGGAGGTACGTGTGTGTGTGGTGTGTGGAGGTACGTGTGTGTGGTGTGTGTGGAGGTACGTGTGTGTGTGGTGTGTGTGGAGGCTCATGTGTGGTGTGTGTGGAGGTACGTGTGTGTGTGGTGTGTGTGGAGGCTCAAGTGTGGTGTGTGGAGGTACGTGTGTGTGTGGTGTGTGTGTGGAGGCTCATGTGTGGTGTGTGGAGGCACGTGTGTGTGTGGTGTGTGTGGAGGTACGTGTGTGGTGTGTGGAGGTACGTGTGTGCAGTGTGTGTGCAGTGGGGAGGGCGCGTGTGAGCACGTGCAGAGCGTGTGGAGCAGGGAAGTACAGTGCGTTCTTGCTCCTGCTCGGCTGTGGATCACCGCACCTGCAGACTCGGCACCTGCAGCAGCTGAGCCGTCTCTGGCCCTATGGCTCTTTCTAGAGCCAGCCCGAGAGAGGACCGGGCGCGGGCCTCTGTGGCTGACAGTGCCCTGTGCCAGCCAGGCGTCAGGTCTGGGCCTTCACCCGGTCCTCCAGCTCCATGTTGGCCAGAACACTGGGCCACGGCAGTGCACGGGCGCCGGCAGGGACGGCGGGGCAGGGGCCTCCCGGGCCCACTGCTCCTGTCTCCCTGCGGCGCCCCGCGGGGCGGCTAGGTCTTCCTGAAGAGCGACAGCCTGTGTCTGATGGAGGGACGGCGCTTCCGGGCCCAGCCCACGCTGCCCTCGGCCCGCCTCCTGGCCATGCACATCCAGCAGCTGGAGACCGGGGGCTTCACCATGACCAACGGAGCCCACCGGTGGAGCAAGCTCAGGTGCGTGCCGCCCCTGCGGCCCCGGCCAACCTCAGCCTCACCCTCCGAGCACTCCCTTGCCCAGTACCGCCCCCCCACCCAGGTAACTCCACACACTCTACACAGAGGGCTTCCCGGTGTTCTTCCCACGGTCCCAACACAGACCCCAGCAGACTCACTGGATCCAGTGGGGTCCAGACCCTCCATAACCCAACCTCATTGGAGCAGTGGGTGGCCGGCCTGTGGCTGGGCCCAGTGCTCAGGGAGCCTCTGCTTCCAGGTTAATTTGAAACCCCTGTCCACTGCAACCTGGGAGCCCTGGCCAATTCTGGGCTCCTCCCTGGGTGACCCATCTGGGTCCTGGGCCCAGCACACGCAAGAACTGCAAGGCAATGCGCTCACTGCTGTGGTGCACAGACATCACACTGCACGGCAGTGCACACACTGCTGTGTTGCACAGATACCACACTGCACGGCAGTGCACACACTGCTGTGTTGCACAGACACCACACTGCACAGCAGTGCACACACTGCTGTGTTGCACAGACACCACACTGCACGGCAGTGCACACACTGCTGT